AGCTACTCTTTGGGCAAAAACATACTTTGTTCATCATTGGTGCGCTGGCTTGTAAGCCGTGGTGACATTATCATACCGTAATGCCGATGCCATTCTTGTGCCATCGTCGGCCCGGGGCTTGTGTTTCAGTGCTTTTCTACTACGGGATATGGCCCTGCTGTCCATTTTTAGATTGGATTTCAAAGATATGCCAGTGAACATCGGATGACCATCAGTACTGCTGACGCAAACCACTGCATTCTGCTTTGCAATCAATGTACGATTCCACATCAAAGACAGCTACAGTAAACCTCACGCTTTCCTCTCAAGCAATGCTACGGGAAACTCTTGGATTGTATGCTGTATCTATCTGCAATATTGGTATATTGGTGTATACACATGTATACCAATATAATCACCTATACGTGCACACACACACACTTTGACACTTCCGTAATTTCCTGCTCTGAAATCTTTGCTTCGAAGTAAATTCTCAGGCCAACACTCTCACAGCGTGCTTTCAAACTCAGCAGCAGCGCGTGCCCTGTCAGGTTTAGGGGTGTATAGATTCACGGTGATTCAACTATTAATGCAAATGGCGCATGTTCATGCATGTTCAACATGCCAGGTGTACCCTCACTGGAGACTCATCGATTTGTCAGGCTTGCTGACGCACATTCAAAATGATTGGCGATTGAGACTTTGAATAGCTCTGAAATCTTTGAAATACAGTCAATTCTTGACGTTGAATCTTTGCTTATTCTTTGCTGTCAAAGCCTGCGTCTGCCTGGCCTTGTTGCGGGCCACATACATGGCTCAAGCCTGGAGGAACTTAGCTGATCCATTTGATTTGGGATATTGGGGAGAAACCAACCCTAACAGAAACCCTAAGCTAAGCATAAAACTATATATATATATAAAACCCTAAATGAACCCTAAATACCCTGGCTGCAAACTACCATGTTCCATAGACAGTTCGAGCACCGAAATGCTGCGAATTCCATAGAAAATGAGAGGTTCGAACTCAAAAATGTTGCAGATACCGATGAAATAGCACCTTCCAGCTCCAAAATGCTGCAAAATCGCAAGGAAAATGGTCAGAAAAGGAAATAAAAAAATACGGAAAACCATAAACAATTCTGGACCCAAAAATAACACATAAAGCCTTGCAGTTATTACGAAAGCCAGCCGGAGGGCAGTGGCTGAAGTGTCTATTGCGAACGTAGTGAGAGTCTGGGGGGTAGCGGCTTCCGAACTACACACCAAACTCGAAATTAGATGGTGTTCTAGGTGGCCCGGAAGGGTGTTTTGCCGAATAAATGTCCGTCTCGCAACTAGATGACCCTGGGCATTCGGTTCCCCCCTGGTCCCTCCTGCTGCCCGCTTCTTTTTTGTTTTTTCTCCGCAAGCAGTGAGTTAACACTGAGGGTTTTTTAGGGTAAGTGTACTGTAAAGGCCGATGCTTGCTCAGGGTGCTCCAGCTGGTCCGAGGCATTTTACCTCTAAAATCTCGCATAAAGTGGCCCTTGTGAAATGTCCACGTGCATTTCGACTGCGCTTTCTCGCGCAAAGTGTGGGTCCCGGTCTTGGGCCCCGGCCTTTTTCCTGTAAATTCTCGCAAAAAGTGGCTCTTGTGAAATGTCGAAGTGTATTTCGACTGCGCAGGCTCGCACAAAGTGTGGTCCCCGGTGTGCTCCCTAGTCTTGGCCTGCGGCATTTTACCTGTAAATTCTCGTGCAAAGCGTGGGTTCCGGTCATGGGATCGGCCTCCTCCTCAACATCATCATTTTCCTCCTCCTCATCATCATCATCTTCCTCCCCCTTGACCTCGTCACCCTCAACATCATCAACCTCCACCTCATCTTCCGCAACATCAACATTATGATCCTTTTCACTACCCTCCTCAACATTATCATCTTCAACATTATCATCATCCTCCATCTCAACATCATCATCCTCAACATCATCATCTTCCTAATTGTTGACCTCATCATCCTCAACATCATCAGCCTCCACCTCCTCTTCCCACAACATCGACATTATCATTCTTTTCAACATCTTCCTCAGCATTATCATCATCAACATCATCAACATCATCATCATCACCATCACCATCACCATCACCATCATCATCATCATCATCATCCTCATTCTCAACATCATCATCTTCCACCTTACCATCCTCCACCATCTTCCGCATTATCATCCTCATCCTCATCCTCCTCAACCTGGTCATCCTCTCCATCATCCTCAATATCATCATCCTCAACATCATCGTCTACAACATCCTCATCCTCATCCTCATCCTCATCCTCATCATCATCATCATCATCATCATCATCATCCACATCCACGTCCACGTCCACGTCAACATCAACATCAACATTATCATACATTATCCTCCCACTCCCCCACACTGTTTGGGTTCTTTTGCCGGGATAATCAGGACCCCTTCCTGCCGCTGTTGACAACACCTGCCTTTACCCGTCTGCACCTTTCGACACACAACTGCCTTTAAACCCCAATCGTGTTCCACAACAAGATCCCTCCCGCATTGTTAGCAATTATCAAGTTTACCCATTTAATGAACCTTCCTCATGACTTTCCAATCTACATTTTCCCCTGCTTTGAGATATAATGCAACCAGCGCCTCCCGAGATTATTTCGGCGAGCAAAAGCACTGGTTTTCGTTCTCATCTTCTCAGGTTTTTATGTTTTCCAACTTTGTAATTATTTGGAATCTGTTTGTACATAAGGTACACCCTTTGGAAATAACTGAAATATACGAAAATAATTACAAACTGAAAAAAACGCATGGGTTGTGTCATTTTTCCATTGGATTCTCATTCAAAGATTGCTGGTTCCAGAGCCCACAGTTTTCAAATAAATCAAAACATTGAAAAAACTGTGTTTTGTGCAACATGTTTCCATAATTTTCATGCAAAGTCTGTTGGTTTCCGAACCCAGACTTTCCAATATACAATTTCTAAAAAATCAAAATACGAATCGTTTTTGACAAATTTCCATTAGATTTTCATTCAAAGACAGCTGGCTCCAAAGCCCAAACCTCTCACATAATTACATTTAAAAAAAACACGCATGGTTTATGACCATGTTCCATTAGGTTGTCATTCAAAAGAAAAATGCAACCAATTCAAACTCGCGTTTGTTAAAATGACCACCAATCAAAATTGATGCCTTGTTGTTGACTTCTGACAATTAGCGTGTGATGTGCAACCATTCAGTTTGCTGGTAGTAAATAAAGCCGCGAAACAACCATGTTGGCCATATCCTTTTTGCATGGCACCATTGCAGGGAAAGGTAAAGGCATGTTTTCGCATACGGTTTTTCAAGTGTCAGCAAAATGTTTCTCCTGTAAAATCATAGCCGCCTGCCTTCCCGCAGACTCACTTTGTTAAACCAGGCACGGTATCAAATATCCTCTTTACCATTGGGAGTGTGTTGTGCAACCATTCAATTTGCTCGCAGGAAGTAAAGCCGCGATACGACCATGTTGGCCTTTTCCTGGTTATATCCTTTTTGCATAGCACCGTTGCGGGGAAAGGTAGAGGCATGTTTTCGCATACGGTTTTTCGAGTGTCAGCAGAATTTTTCTCCTCTAAAGTCATAGCCGCATCCCGCAGATCCACTTTGTGAAACCAGACACTATATCCTCTTCGCTGGGAGTGTGTTACGCAACCATTCACTTTGCTCCCAGGAAGTCAAGCCGTGATACAACCATGTTGGCCTTTTCGCGGCTATATCATATCCTTGTGCTTACCACCAATCCAACTTGATTCATGCCTTGTTGTTGACTCCTGACAATTAGCGTGTGATGTGCAACCATTCAGTTTGCTCGTAGTAATTAAAGCCACGATACAACCATGTTGGCCTTTTCGCGGCTATATCCTTTGTGCTTGCGGGGAAAGGGACTGCCTGTGTCCGCATATGGTGAGAAGAACAAGCATCACAGATGTAGTGCTAAGGAGAAGCAGCAGAATCAAGCCAACCCCAGTCGTCTTCGACAACAAGATCCCTCCCGCATTGTTAGCAATTATCAAGTTTACCCATTTAATGAACCTTCCTCATGACTTTCCAATCTACATTTTCCCCTGCTTTGAGATATAATGCAACCAGCGCCTCCCGAGATTATTTCGGCGAGCAAAAGCACTGGTTTTCGTTCTCATCTTCTCAGGTTTTTATGTTTTCCAACTTTGTAATTATTTGGAATCTGTTTGTACATAAGGTACACCCTTTGGAAATAACTGAAATATACGAAAATAATTACAAACTGAAAAAAACGCATGGGTTGTGTCATTTTTCCATTGGATTCTCATTCAAAGATTGCTGGTTCCAGAGCCCACAGTTTTCAAATAAATCAAAACATTGAAAAAACTGTGTTTTGTGCAACATGTTTCCATAATTTTCATGCAAAGTCTGTTGGTTTCCGAACCCAGACTTTCCAATATACAATTTCTAAAAAATCAAAATACGAATCGTTTTTGACAAATTCCCATTAGATTTTCATTCAAAGACAGCTGGCTCCAGAGCCCAAACCTCTCACATAATTACATTTTAAAAAAACACGCATGGTTTATGACCATGTTCCATTAGGTTGTCATTCAAAGACTGTTGGCCCCAGAGCCTAAACCTTTCTAATAATTTTAAAAACATGGTTTTGACCATTCTGCTGGCTCCAGAACCCAAACCTTTCAAATACTTAATAAAAATTGAAGAAAACGGATGGTTTTTGCCACTGGCTGAGGTTTGCCCAAATGGACCCTGTTTTTCTATCATACCCTGTCACCCACGGCTGAGTGAAACTGTACCACGATTCGTCAATTCACTCGTTTGCTCCACCGCTAAACTACCACGCTGAGGCATCTTCGGTGCCGGCGGATTTATTTTAAGCGGCCGGCAAAGTGAGCACATAGTGAGCACATCGTGGGCTGCATCACCTCCGCGTCAGAAAAGTGGCAGGGCGACGCTGCAATGGAAGTTGCTGTCGCTGTCATTTCGCCATATCCTAGTCCGACAGTCCCTGTTTCGTCTTTGTTTCCTCCTTTCCAGTTGCCTTGGTTCGCAGGAGAAATTGTTTCTGCCCTTTGCCTTGACTGGATTTATTCCACTCCTCAGGTTGTGCAAAATCATTGCACACCCGGTTTAGCAAGTCCAATGGTGCGCATCTTCATCTCTTAGCATGCCTGATGCTTGGGCAAACCCTTGGTCTGGTTGTTGAGTCAAGCCCCAAGCCAGCAATCAAGATTTGGGACGTCAAAAGGGAAAGTTGCTTGCATGACGGAGGACAGAACGCATCAACCTCGAGCCATCTATGGGCCAAAGCCGTCCTTGCGGACTTCAGAAACTATAGTGTTTTGCTTTGCACACGAAACTCTTTTTTGGAGCTCTGGGATTTGCGACGGCTTGCAAGCCCTTTGGCTGTGAGTGGACGTGATGTCGGGGGAAGTCCAAGGGCTTTGCGGGCATCGTTTGGTGTTGGTTCTGGCTTGGCACTATCAGCTTCTCCAGATGGCCTGCTACATTTGGTGACTTGGATGGCAGAAGAATATGTAAACATACATAGAGGTAAGTAAAGAGGTATATAAATAGGGCACCCAAACAAGCAATCAGGAATATGCAGCGGCAACAGTAGGGAGTTGACTGGGCTTACCACAAACACCAAGTCAGCTATGTTGCCCAAGATGATGTACATTAATCTTACATGAAGTAATATGATCGCAAGCGGAAATCAGCCGCACCGCTCGCCGTTTTGACAGCTGCAGCGGCCAGTCAGTATATAGCTAGCAGCGGCGTGGTTTTCAGCTTCAAGAAAAGGTCCTCTCTGAGCGACACATTGTTGACGGCATGACCTGACAAGGCGGTCACAAGGCGGTGAATAGTTGCACCGGTAGAAACGGTAGAAAAAAGGCTCAGGTCATGGCCGCTCACCGTAATACCATTCAGAGAGGCCAAGTGCGGACCTATTCACGATCCGGTTTGTTGGTCTCGTAAGCCAGCATTGATTGGAGGAAAATCAGGTGAGCCAGAGATTGCAAGCCCATGCTGAAAATTTGAAAGCCAAAGTTCATGATGTTCATGAGCAATGATTGGAAGCGCATGCTTTGCAATTTTTTCGTAAGCTTGCAGCGGTGGCGTGGACCGATGGGAGGCGCTCTGTTTTTGTAGCAGCTTCAGCTTCTGAGTGGCAGGCGTTTGAACCACCCAGAACTAGCCCAAGGCCCAAAAGGTTTTACCGCTGGGGATTCCAGACTCCCAAAAGGATTGCAGAGACTTTCTTTCAGAGTTTGCGCCTGTAGGTTCCAAGTAGCGTTTTCGCCTGCCAGCTGCACACACGTGTGAAGTAGTTTTGGAACTCTTAGCTGGTGGAGTGAGCTTGCCAAGACCGTCCCAGTACTAAGCTCTGAACAGTTTAGATTCCCCAAATATCTTTGAGTATCGTGGATTGATTTGGATGTACCTGCACATGAGTTTAGCGAGCTTTGACTCTTTCAAATATTAGGCGGAGGGATCGCACTTTAGAAAAATGTGACGCATGGAGTGTGGCACCACGAGCGAGAAAGAGGGCAGGGGCGTCCATCGCGCAGATAGAAAATGAGAAACAACCTTCAAACAGGCAGTGGAATAATGTGAAGATCGCAAGCAGAGGAAAAACACCAATCCAAAACTAGAGATTAAGATGCTCCACGGGTTTAAACGGTCCTGCCAGTTTCTTTCATACACAATTTCCCTAGTGTGTTATGATTTTCAGCTCTGGAGTTGGTTGAATGTAGACATCGCTGACAGGGTCTTGTTTTGCCTGACCTGGTTGCTTAGCGACAAAAACTGTTAAGGATGACAAGGTTCAACGCTTAAAGGGATTGGTTGAAAGCGTTTGGTTTCCCTTTTTGTATGTGAGTCTCAATCTGGCCGCTTGGTGTTTTTTTCCACGCGAAAACCCATCAAACATAGCCATGTCGTTTTCCCTTCACTCCATGACGCATTCCATGTGCCAGAGGTCAATCTGGATGGGAGTTCAGGAAGGCTAAATATTGCCAAAACATTGCCTGGGCACAGAGAAGAAGTGGTGTCAGCCAACGTTTATTGGGGAGACCATGCCTATCCATATGTAAAGGCAGCAACAATTTCTCTGCAGCAGGATGTATTGTTTTGGGAAGTGCCATGGTACAAATTGAAGCAGGAGCAAATTTCCAAAGAAGTTTCCAAAGAACGTCCCAAAACACGGCTTGAAGAAGTACAAGATCTTCAAGACATATTCTGGCAGCCAAGATGCCTTCCGAAAGGGTACCAATACCGAACCCGTATGGTGGCTTATCGAAGCCAGGCCCAGTACAGAGAGCGCTGTGCATTGACGGGATCGCTTGGTGGAACAATCTACTCTTGGGAGATGCATGAAAATAATCACGATATTATGTTTGAAGCAGGGCGATTTGAGGGACATACCGATCAAATTTCTACACTTTCAGTTGATTGGAAGAATGGCTGTGCATTGAGCGGATCATGTGATGCAACTTTGCGGCTTTGGAATCTCAGCACCCAACATTGCGAACGAGTGCTGCTTGGTCACTGCAGTTCTATTCGAACAGCAGTTGTTGACTGGACAGTGAATAGAGCTATCACCAGTGCAGTTGGCGACGCTGTTCGCGTATGGGATCTAAAATCTGACTGCGAACCAGACTTGCTGAACACGCAAGACTGCATCACAGAATCTCTGGCTGCATTCTCCACTGCATCAGCTGCCTTCATTGATCGAAGTGGTACAGCAGAATTTTGGGATTTGGAAAGGCAAACTTGTACCACCAAATTTGATGGTCATCCAGGAACTTTATACTATTTGCACTTTGGCATCTCCGAGTCTGAAGAGATACTTCCAGATCTTCCAGGACATCCAGGACTCTCAGAATACTCTGAAGCAAAGATGCATCGCCGAGAAGAAACGTGCGAAGTAGATTTCAAGTGGCCATTGGCACCCACAGATGTGCTGGCAAGTTCTTGTGGAGAATGGTGGTCTCGCTCTACCTTTTGAATCTTTCGATTTGTGATACCTTTCTGTTACACAACAGACTACGGGCTGGCTGTTTGAGAACGAGACGTGGACAGCCTTTAGCTTATTCTACTTCCAGTTAAGATTTGCAAGTGAAAATTGCATCAATTGTGACGCGCAGAACATGCTCGACATATGGTATAGAATCATGAAGACAGTTGAACGCATGGAGTGCAAAGACCGGAGACGAGGCAACCACACAACATAGTGGCAGTTTGTCTTCTTCGCCAAGGTGGTGTTTCCATTCATGGAGACCACAGTCAGTCCGTATGGAAAGTGCAGATGAACGAATGTGCAGATTTATCTGAAGGCCAGACAGAAGATGTAATAAAGAGGTTGAAACAGAAACATGTTGAAACTGGGACCTTGCATTTTCAATTTTTTTTTGGTTGCAGTAATCGCATTGCTGTCAAACAGACAGCTGGCGTTGCAATCCTGCTATGTGCTCATCAAACAAGGTCTGCGGTCTGCAGTTGAGGCTGTCTAGCAATTGCAGCAATACTGTCTAGCAATTGCAGCAATAGTGCTTGTTGGTGTTCTATGCTTCTTAGCCTTGTGGCAAGCCCATTCAAGGAGTAGGCACTTTCCATCATTAAATAATTGAGCGCCACTTGTTCCGCTTGGCTGAGAGCAATAGGCTCAGTTAGGCTGATGTAAAAAGCAAGACAAATGAAGGACTTCACAAACACACACACACATATATATATACACGCACAACACACACACACAAACACGCATTTCTAGATTAGCAAAGTGTCGGAAAGTCACCAAGGAAAGAAACCAAGACTGCAACAGCCCCAGTTGCTCCAGCCACTTAACAGTCAAATGCCAAGAAAGCCAACTGGAGCCAGACCCAGTCCACATGAAGACACACAGTAACACAGAAGAACATGTGCAACATGATGCAATGGCATGTCAGAAATGCAACCACACGAAACCGTGGGCACCGACATGAAGGAAGTCACCCCTTTCTTTGAAAATCTAAGTGTCAATTTGTTCGACACTGTTCGACACTTGCCACCATGGAGTCCATGAAGAGATCGCCGACATTTCTTGTGGGGACGGTTCAGCATTCCTGGCATTGATTCTCAGTCGGTTTGAAAGCGTGAGGTCAAGAGCAATCAAGGGTTAATCAAGGGTCAAACAGCCACACCAAGTTCCTTGTAGTAACAGTATGCTCAGTATGCAACAGTGCGCCAGGCAGAAAGACATTCTGGGGGAATTCCAGAAGCGAGAGCAGCATTACACAGAAGAGTGCTGCCTTCAGCATCACGTGTTGAATCCACATATCATTGCAATATGATGCGATGTGTTGAGACTTTAGACATTTGTGATCCAAGACGACCAGCTGATGACCAAAGGCTGGATTGTAAAGTACAGTAGGTCAATAAAGCAAATGCAGCATGCTTAGTGGATTTGAAAGCTCAAGTTCTGCAGCACACTTGCAGTAAGCCCGCAGGTACTCAAAGAATAAGCCGCTTTGCTTTAGCGCCAGAGCATATCAACAGCCGCATCCAGCAAAAGTGAGGATGGGTTACAAGGCCAGAATTGCCAAGGCTTTGCTTAAAATGCGATCATTTGATGTCATTTTCATGATGTTTGTGCTTCAATACCAGGATGCTGATGCAACCTTGACTTCTCCAATGCTTCTGGGCGTTTGTGACGGTGTTTCGCAGCTAGAGGAGCTTGCACAGCTTGGATTTGAAATCTTTTCAATTTAAGATTTCTATGGATTTCTCAAGCTGCTTGACTCAAGCTATGAACATTTTGAACATTTTGAACTTGGCATCACTTCGTCCTTTTCCATCCAGGAATTCCAGATGGATCCTTCCCTCTTGCCTAATGAGCTGCTCAAGACTTGTGAGGTCCGACCTGTCATGTTGGTGAAAGAGATGGCTCTAAAGCCACAATAAGTCACAGCAAGTATATAGTGATTATACATTATTATACAATTCTATGTCGTTCTTATTCACAATTGTTGAATTGTTTCGTCTTATTTCCTAGATACTAAGATAATGCAGTACCATCTGTCATCCTTTTGATTCTACAGTATGCATATTCATGTCCCCGATTGCTGAAGACTTTCACACTTTACTTTCATCGTTGCCACAAGCTCGGCATTCTTGTCCGACCAAAGCTATCTCCAATGTTTAAACTGGAGAATGCAGAATATCCTGTGACATAGACTGTGAATGCCTAAACCTTCACTCTTCGAGGAAGGATAGCAAGGTGGGCATGATTGGTTGTTTGTTTCAAGCCTTGCGTATTTCAATTCTTATTTTGTTGAAAAGGTTTCGGTTTGTGTACCACTGAGTGCTTGTTCACTATATAGGCTTCACGATTTCATGTCACCCTAAGCCAGATTCCATCGTATTGAGAAGGGAAGCTTCATTTGGGCGATCTTTTGTGATTTTTTTGAGTTCATCTGGGACTATTTGCACACTGTGATGATGACGGACCAACACCACGTGAATGCTGAGAAATTCACAAGACTTACTTGGACTATGTGGGCAGCACGGCAGACCTGTCCTGAGCCATCTTAGATCTATCTTGGGGTTTTCTTGGTACTATCATTGGTGATGACGTCGCCATGGCTAGTCATGCTTGCGTGATCGGGGGCTCATCAACTTGCAAGACGGCCATTCTGGGGCAAGATGGACCCAGGGTAGACGCAAAATGGCGCAAAGCAGGCCCAACATTGATTGGACCGACTTTGCTCAGAGATTGACACATGAAAGTGTGCTATTACTGGACTATTTCTTAGATGCAGATCCTTTTCCCGTATTTAGGAGAATTCTTGCAAGAAAGGGAATTGAATTGAACGAGTGTTTCGGACACAGCTTCAATAGTGCAAACATCTATCCACTATAGCTTGAAACAGTGCCTGGCGCCTGGCACATCATACGTCCAAGATAATAAGTGCCGAAGGATCCCTGGCCTTGCCAGTACCATTCCCAAGCCACCTGTCATGTGTGCCATAGTTTTTGGGCACGATATTTTTCAGAAGAGGGCAGAAGAGCGCACAGAAATGCAAGGCAAGAATTGTATAGCTAAAGCTCTAGCGACAGAAATACTCGCCACTATGTGAATTTGCCCAGCGGCCAGCATATTTGTCAACATCTCACCACGCCTTCGTTTACCCACACCTTGGGCAGATTCTCAATATTCCAAGTGTTCAACATGATCTCCCCAAAGACATAGCACGAGTGATTGGGGTGCAATTATGGAAGCCTCCTGTGTGCTGTCTCACAGGAACTCGCTATGTTGCAGCTTATGCCAGACATGAATGTCTCACCGCAGGACCAGTGCGCCTCCACTGTGAAGCCAGTAGCTGATCCCTTTATTTGGTGTACTGTGTGACAGGTACAGAGGCCCCATATCCCTCCTAAAAGAAGCGAACCTGAGCTGAATTTAGATGCACCTATATACTCAGAGAACGGGGGGAGCTAGCTGCAGAAGTGAAGACAATTGCACGGGGTTTATGGCGCCAGGAACTTGCATTAGACAAGCTTGGTTACATAGTTGCCTAGACCTGACATAGGTGCCTCCAATGAGGTACCTGAAATTGTCATCTATGAACTCACTTTGAAGTTTGAATCATACAACCATGCGCACATGCCACATGCCAGGAGCAAACAAAGTTCAATTCTGCTGGCGCGCAATGATTTTTGGGAATGCTCTCTCGAATTCTTGCAACAAAAGAGGTTTGTGTGTGCTTTCCCACTATACTACAAGTCGATGTTTCTGATTGCTTTGTTTTATGCCATGGTAGATTCAAAGTTTGCGAACTCTGCCAAACATCTAGCCAAATGGAGGTTGGGGCAGACTTTGTTTCCTGTCTTTTGGCCCTAAGTAAGGCCTTCAATATCCTTCAGCCCAGAAATTGTGTGGAGTGGTTTGGAGATTTTGGGGGCTTCTGAAGGGTTGTGAAGGTGGTCCTGCAAGGTTCCGGGTTCTGGACGAACTACAGTGTCTGTCAAGTGATGGTGCCTAGTACTTCAAACTCAGTCGGTTTTTTTTCCGTCACCAGGGAGTTTCAATGAATTTCAGGTTCTTTTCCACGCGCGATCTTTATGTGAAGGCATTTGTTGAGGACCAACACAAACCTCAACTTTACAATAAATTCTCAATGTTTCAGTCTGTTGGGATTGGCTTCTTTTAAGCCGCTCACTTCAGAGCCGCTCACTTCAGTGCTTCTTTCTCGTGATGAGACTCTTATGATTCAGGTTTGAAACAAGCATCTCTTGCGAGTGCCACAGCATTAAATGAGCAGACCATCTAGTATTCTTTTGGTCTTTGCCGTGCCCAAACGCTTGCAATGCAACATGAAGAACGAAATAGAACGAATTCAAATTGACCAAAAAAGCTTTTAAAATCCGCTTGAACATCACCTCTCATACCGGAAAAGATGAAATTGCAAGAAAACAGGAAAACACATGACCTTCTTTTGAGGTTGTTAGGGCGACCTTCACCTCCATCCCAAATTTGGCTGCTCTTAGTGTCAGCTAAACCCACTATATACTTATTACGGACCCTGCAACTGTGTTTCAAGAAAGCTGACGCAATGAAATTACTTGGCAGGGCGGCATTCTGGAACCTGGGAGGCTCCTCATACCTTCTTTCGCATCATCCTTTGCAATAAACTTCTTTTCCCACATACTGGCGGCAAGACAAAACATCAAGTCCAAGTGATGTGTTGCAAGTCATGGTTTCAAAGCAGAAGGTACAGCAACGTCTCAGAAAGAAATAGGGTGGTCAACTTGGTCAACCCGACTTTGTGCATAGGTGCTGTCCAGATTGTTTCCCAGCATGGTTTTCCAGCATGGCCAAAAGTTGGACACAGGTCTGCCCCATGGGTTTGCGGACTCTGAGGTTTTTCCGCTTGTTTTTTAGGCTTGTCTACCAGCACGGGGGTCAAAACTGCCAACTTCTTTAGCTATTTGGGTTCCATGCCACTAATTTCATGATTCATGAATGTGAGAACAACGAAGCTTCAATGCCAATAGTCCTTTCCAGGAGTCCTCCCAGTGACATGACAAAAACAAATATATTAGCCCAGCTTTGCAACCCAACAGTGAAAGGTTCCAGCAAGGTTCCAGGACTGTTCCGGTTCTTCGGGGCGTGCATTTTCGTGTCACCAGTCCCCGGCCCCAGAGATTGAAACCCAAGAGATTCGCTGTTGGGAATTAACTTCAAGACACTTTTTAAGCTGCTTCAAAAAGGTTCAGATTCAAAACCGCTTCAAATTGAAAAATGGGAAGGAATAGCTTGCGGCCTGTAGGCAAAGCTCTTAAACCGTTTTGCTGTATAGCAACTGTCGAAGAGGTTCTTTCACGAAGGTTGACCAGGATTTCTACCTGTCTCTAAACATTGCAGATTCTGTATCATGCTCTGTGTCATTCTGTATCCCCTCTGTTTGACTTTGTCGCAACATACCTTCTTAGCCATAAGTTTCTTGATGCATTGTCTCGTCTTTTTTTCTGTGTCTGTGCCGTCTATGCCTGTTTGTGGAATAGTGGTGCAAGGTATCAAGAAACCACAAGCTTTGGGTGCAGGAGCTCAGCAGGGACAGACTGAAGGCGAACAGATTTCTACATAAACTGGTAAGACCGGGTAAGACCACTGGTAAGAGTTGGTCGGAGCTGATTCGACGTCTCCTCGGGACGTGGATCTTGCTGTGAAACTCAGCAGCTTGAGGTCCACAACTGTCTTGCTTGCAGCTCTTGACAACAGTACCAGAATCCATGGAAAGGCCCTCCTATCCTGATATCGTATTTTCTAGAACTCGCAGGTTGTCAGATCTCTTGAAGTCAATACTTGTCATGAGCACCCAGCCACTCCAAATCCAAGCGGATCGTGGTTCTCCGGCCAGTTGCATCCGATGATTGCGGTTCTCTCAATTGGAGACTGCGAGTTGCTGATGCTGTCAGTGGCTCAGCATATCCATTTGTGACACACTTAAAATCAAAGACTTTCGTGCTGAAAGTGCACTTGGCATAAATGAGCGAGGAGTATGTTATAAACTAGTTGGCAGAGGATGCACAGGTGAACTGAAATTGTTGAGACTATGTGATTCAGGAGACGGACAAACGGTCGGCAATCAGAGTTAGAGGCCTTTCGCATTTTGTCTTTTCTTATGGTGCTGTTTCCGCTTGAATGGTGTGGCATTCATCCCCCAGGCACGTATACAGACAATATCAATGTATGATCATGTATATTATGGGAGTCGTTCTGAAGGTCCATGTAAGAGTTTTTACTGTAATTGCCATGGCTGCCGGGTTTCAACATGAGACCCCGCGAAAGTTTTTTCTGAGTGCGCGAAAGCATGTTTTTTGGGCGAAAGATTAGCGAAAGATTTTAACATGAGACCCTCGCGAAAGATAAACCTGGGGTTCGCGAAAGATTCGCGAAAGTATTTTTTATTCGCGAAGAATGGCCGTTTGCAGATAAAGGAATTTAGAACAACCGCCATATCTTGCTGTGAAATGCTGAACCCTCACACTCCTCTCTCCTAGTTTGTATGTCTTGGGTCCTGTTTTTCTCTTTGGATAGGTGATCCAGGGCTGCTGAAATTGACTGATGTAGGGTCACACTCGCCTACCTGAACCTACCTGAATCCTGCCAAATGGCTCAAACTGTACACTATATATATATATTATATATATATTATACATATTTATATACATATATATATATGTAATATATGTATGTGTGTGTAATAAACGTAAATATACATATATATATATATATGCATAATTAGTATTTCTCCTGTAGGGGGTTCAGCCTACTTTTCTTTCAGAGTGCTCTTGGGGCTTGGTCTGGCGGCTGGAAGTTCCAGGGAATCTGGGAGGTTTCAAGCCTTCAGCGAAATTGATATGCTTGTTGCACTTGTTGCGGAGTGATTGCGATGGAGTGTTCTTTGGGCGGAATCTTTAGGCGACAATTGAAAAAGGTTTCGAGCTTGCTTTATATTGTTTTCTTGGCACGATTTCACGGTCCTTTCAACTTCCTCATGGAATAGTGGTAGCTTGCAGCATTGACAGGCAGTTTTTCACACAGAAATGCAGCGCATTGACTACAACGTCCAGACGCCGCTTCAGTTGGCCCGGGTTGATGAACGAATTGATGAGGAGCCGAGAGTACGTTGGAAAGCCTTTTTGGGCAGACTTTGCCTTCACTTCAAAGCTGCTGTTTGACTTCAAGTTTTTGTATGCATAGCTGTTTCTATTGCAAGAGGGAAAGATGTAACTGGAGGAATTATGGGAGCTGAAAGCTTGGTCATCTTGTTAAGCACAATTTTTGCCTAGGTTTGCTTGCAACTTGCAACTTGAGGAATTCGATGAGTCAATCGCTCTAGAGGTGGGCTTGCATACTTGAATGTCACAGAATGGAAGCTCCAAGTTGTACTTCTGGTTTTTCAAGATCTTCAAGCATGCTTGTAAGCGCATGTTTGAAACACACACGCACACAACATTTGCATGTTTCACTGTTTTTGTGCTTTCTGCAAGTTGCGTTCTTTGCTCTCTGTGCCAAAATTTGGAGCTTGGCTCGAAGTTTTTGGCCTTGACGGCCTCGACGCGACTTGACACCACTGGACACTTGGTGTCGGCTTCTCGGCTTCCGCCTTGCCATCGGTACTTGCCTCACTGTTACCCGGATTCGCCGAAAACGACAGCGATTGAAGCCTGAGCTATTCAAAACAAAACATATTCAAAATGATCAAAAAAGCTCCTGTGTATTCCTTGCTGACATGCTTGCTGTGCCAAGCATTCTTTGTGTTCTTTGCTGCTTGAGTCAGGTCAAGATGATGAAGGGCTTTGCTTTCAAAATCTTGACACCGAAGGACATTACCGGAGTTGCCTGCAGCACTTGAGGAATTCGGGTCTTCTTGATTCAAATCACAAAAAAATGTTTGCACCGCCCAGGTTCTAAACATGATTGGCGTGCATCCAGCAGTGGTGCAGGAGAACATTGAAAGGTGGGAATCCAATATGTATGGGCTGCCTATATTTCTCGCAGAAACATGCACAAACAGTAAGAAAACACATATTTCTTTAAATAGAGTGTGAAATTGGACATTCAAAGGAGCCTGATGTTCATTTCAATCCACATGCCTGACATGTCTGGGAGCGAATTCACGCCTGGCCGTCAATGGATGGCTCAAGCGCGCACTAGCATCAGCAAGTGTCAAAACAGGCAACCGCATGCATTTGCAGTTCGCACTGGGGCTGCTAATTCCGCATTGGTAGCGGAGCTTAGACTCCGGGGTAATCTTTGGAGATAAGTCCCTCACGTGGAAACCCAACCGCTTTTTACATATCCTTGTGCAGCGTTGGCGTCATGTCGATGCTGGATTGCGTGAAGTGGTAGAATAATTTTTAATATGCTCATGAGGCGGCAACATCTACAGAAGGCAGCTTTGCAGGGACAGTTGAAGTGCCGCGATTTCGGCAAGATCTTGGAGGAGGAGCAGTTGACACCAGACGCACAGATGAAGAGCAAGGCCAAGGAGGAGTGCAATCACGACAACAAGGACTTTCGTGGAAGCACCGGAACCACCTGGAAGTGGACATGCAAGGATTGTGGACGCGGGGTGACAGTAGCAAAGCTTCCAGAGGGCAATCAGCGAGGTCGCCCCACAGAGACAATGTCAAGAACTTCGCCAGCACGGACGCCCGGCAGTGCCTATACGCCATTGTCTGCACCGACAAGCAGCAGCTCACCTGGAGATCCGCCACTGCAATGATTGCATGGAAGCCTCATGCAGTCTGGAGCCCACAAGCCCAAGACTTTTGATGGTCTATCGCGTTGAGGTCGCCTGGGCCAAGAACCTGATGGGACAACATCGACCTGGACGTCTCAAGGATCAGAATCTGGTCTTCTACGTCAACTATGCCCGGAGGAGGAAGACAGAGGCCGAGGAGACTACGTCAGCAGCGACCAGCCGCAGGATGGAGTGGCGAGGTCATCGCCGGATGAGGTGATTGCAGTGCTAGACACCGGATGCAACAACACATGCCATGGAGATCGTTGGATGGAGAAGTACATGGCCGTGCTCGGAGCGCAACCTATGGCGGAGGAATGTTTCATACCAGACTGCAAGACCATACCGATGTCTATGGCAACGTTGGACGGAGAGTGGGTTCCAGGAAGCATCGTGTCCGTGGAATTGGCCAACTCAGATGCCCCGCTTCTTTTGAACCCTCACGAGCAGAAGCGACTTGGTCTAGTGATTGACACGGCTGCAGGAACTGTCTACAAGAAGCTTGAGCTGATTAATTAATTACAATGGACTTCGAGCCCCACGATTTCTTCCTCATCACCACGGCTCTGTGAATGACAGCATCGCCTTGGTCACTGGAGGTGTTTTTGCTGTGAAATCTCTTTGCTGCGAGATCCTCTTTGCTGTGAGATCCTCTTTGCTCTGAGATCTCTTTGCTGTGAGAACCTCTTTGCTCT